CAGGCTAGCTGTATTATAACGAGAGTACGATAGGGTCTCTCCTGAGCGGAGTCCTCATGCTAGGCACACAAGGAGCGGGTCCTCGGAGACTAACATTACACGACTACCAATATAGAAATTAGTTCTAAGAGTGGTTCCCAGAGTCATGGACCCTTCATGAATTAAATCGTGCAACAGGCTAGCTGCGTTACGATATGATTTACGAAAAGGTCTATTCAGGAAGAGCTTTCATGCTAGGCACGCAAGGAGCGAGTCCTTGGGGACTAACACTAATCACTACCAATTCTAAACTATGCTTTCTCTCTTCTTTTTCCAAAGCTCAGGTGTAGAGCTTTACTTGTGATATTTTCCTAGAATCCAACAAGCAAATATACTACAGAGCATATAATAGAAAGAGAAAGCAATAAATAAAGAACAGGAGAAAATAAGCATAAAGAAAATAGTTAAACAAAAGGTTAGTACTCTCAAATCGAGTCAAGTTAGGCTTGAATCTCTCTTGCATAGGGCAATGCGTATTCCCCAGCAGAGCCGCCATCTGTCGTACCTTGAAAAATACGATCCTCGCGATGGACGCGGAAAATACTGTTCGAAACAGAGTCGCCACCGAACTTTATTCATTCCAAGGATGGAATAGGAAAATATCGATAAAACCTTTAAGGAGATAAGAACATGGTCATTGCAACCAATGTTCTAGGTTCGGGAGTCGATTACATGAGGGGAAGGTATTAGCACCCCTCATGTCCGTTGTACTCAACGGGAACCTCTTGATTCAATTCGAGAGTAAAGTTAGCTACACTTGTTTGTTTTCTTCTAAGGTTTCTCCTATGGGGTAATGGGTGGTTTTAAGATAGGGTGCTCGCCAAGGATTGGGGCCCTTGTGCCTACGTATCTTCACTTGTAAGAAGTGGAAAATCAGAGCGTTCGTAGTTCATGGGACTACGGGAAAAAGGGGGGATTGTGCTCGCCAAGATCATCGCAATCTTGTGCCTACGTATCTTACATTAAAAAGAGAATGAAGAATCAGAGCAGCCGTAGTTCGGCTAACTACGGTAAAAGGTTTGTGTTTGGAATGAACGAGAGGTTAGGTCGCATTCTAACTGCTAATCGTTGGCTTGTCTGCTCGCTAGGGGAGGCTGAAGCACGAGTTTGTTATGCGCAGAAGAATGGGCTAAACAATGTTCTTTCTAAGAGTGTTTGGGCTGGAAATCGCACGAGGGCGAGGAATTAGGTTTATCGTATTGGATGTTTTGGTTTGGGATATATTTGAATAATTAACAAGGTTTCGATCGCACTGGGGCAAGAAAAAGAGTTCGGTTAGGTAATTTGATGGAGAATGACGACTATTCGATAAACGAGACGTCGGTCTCGCAATCAATTAATCGGGGCATTATTGGAATGCTAGATTCTAATGACACCTTTTTCATTCGAATAACTACGAAATATGTGTTTGAGAAAGTTTCAATCGCACGGGGGCGAGAAAAGAGAGTTGGATAGAATATTTTAAGGGAGAATCACGACTACTCGATAAACGAGACGTCAGCCTCGCAATCAATTAATCGGGATATCATTGGAATGCTAGACCCCAATGATACCTTTTTCAATTAATTAGGAAAGTGTATTTGGATGGACAATGGTGGTATTTGTCAAAGTAGTTAAGGCATGTATTTTATATACGAAAAGGTCGAGTAATCCACAACCTAAAGCGTACGCCTCAAGAGTGGTCACTCAAGAATTCAAGGAGTGCGAGATTCCAAGAACTTCATTCTTTCGTAATTTTAATTAAGAAAATAGTTTGGATTTTACGTATGGTTTAGAAGCATACGAGGGTTTAGACTCGATCGCACGAAGGTGAGGAATGAGGTTAGATGGGTTAAAAATTTAGGAGGAATGACGGCTATTCGATAAGCAAGACGTCAGCCTCGTAACCAATTAGTCGGGGTATCGTTGGAATGCTAGATCCCAACGACATCTTTTTCATTCCATTAATTATAAAATAGTGTTTGTTGGACAGTGAGAGTACTTACCCAAATAATTAAAGGAGGTATTTTAGGAACGAAAGTTCGAACGACACATCATTCAAGGCGTACGCCTTAATAGTAGTCACTCTCGAATTCGAGGAATGAACGACTCCAAGAACTCGATTCTTTCGTGATTTAATTTAAGAAAATAATTTGAATTGTTTAGCGTACTCGGACTAGGCGCGCTAGGTATTCTAGAAATGTAAGATCGGAAGGGTCACAACTCAAGGTGTGCACCTCGAGAGCGGTTGCTTAAAAATTCAAGGAAGGTGAGATCCAAGAATTTAATTGTTTTGAAATTTATTTGAGAAAAATAGTCTAATTTAATTAAGAAAACTAATTTTAATTTTCATATATAAAAATAAATTAATCAATTGTTTATAAAAAGATTTTGAGAAAAGCTAGTCATATTTAATTGTTTTGAAAAAAAGTTTAATATCTTAGAAAAAATATTTTAACTTTGTTAATAAAGTAGTTTTGTTTAAGTTTAATATTTAAAATATTATTTGGTAATAATTTAGAAATATATTTTTTTAAAGAAAGAATAATTTGAATTTTTCTTATAAAAGTATCTAAAAGTAATAAAAATATCCTTTAAAAAATTTCAATTAATTTGAGTGAAAAAACATTTTGGAAACCGAAAGACGGAACAACCACAACTCAAGGGCGTGTGCCTCGAGAGCGGTTGTCCAAGGACCCAAGGGGTGCTAGACCCCAAGAACCCCACCACTTTCGTAGCGCGGCGAAAAATTCAATTAATGTGTAAGAAATTTTAGTAGCATAATAGACAGAGAAATGTCGAAACCATGGATTAGAAAATTCAATTATAAATGTAATGAATAAATAGCAATAACATCTATCTAAAAAAAAAAAAAACACATAATCTAAACGATTAAATCAATTAAAATATAAAGGAGGGGTGTTATCTTGGAATATAGATGCAAGCAAATCGGACCCTAGCTGGATCAAATATAATTTCTAAACATTTTTAACCCTCACCTAATACAAAATGATATTCTAATGGGCCTGAATTAACATTGTAACCCAAACAATTAAAAAAAACTCTAATACTGTAAAAGGAAATGTCAACAAAATTAAAAAAATTAATTTACCTTTTTGAAACACTTAACCAAACCTAAAGTTTATCCAGGAAATGTTTTAACATTATTATAAAAAGATACTATATTTTTCAATAAAAATGCAATTCTAAAAATTAAAACAAATGAAACTGTAATAACATTTCTAGCCATACAGTATATAAAAGAAGCAACGGAAATGTGAAACAAAAGCATTGTTAGCTTAAACCGAAACCGTTCGACATAACATTGTTAAATTAATACCCCAATTTAATATTAGCACACAAACTGACTGCAGCAGCATGTTGATCTCTTCTCATAAAAAAACGCAGGCAACATATTTACGGCCATTTTGGAGCTGATTCTAGGTTCCAGATGATTGAATCTAAATTTAAATTGAAACCAAATGAAATCAGCAGCAACAAAGTATATTAAATTCTTTTAACAACCGCGATTGAAATTCATCCTTAACATGATAAAATCATGTTGTAAATTGAAACAGGACCACAAATATGCAGAATAATTGTACCAGCTTGAATGTCCTTTTGAATCTTGCAAAATATTCATACTGTTAGGTCAGTCCATGTATACATTCTCAAATTGAAACTTCAACAATTCCATGTCACACTTATTTTCATGAGATTAAATCAAAACAAAATTTGCAAAGTCATAACATAAATTGAAATATATGAAATCTTCATGTCACGAAATCGAACCGAAAACAAATATACAACAACAGCAATAACTGAAACTCAATCAAAAAAACCAGTATCTAATATAATTCTCAATTGTTTGATATGAAATGAGTGGGACGATCGATTAAAACAGAACCGAAATGATGCTATAATATTATGAACAAAAGACAATCGCAGCAAAAGAAAAATGACAGCCATTAAATTTATTTGAAAAGGACTCGACATTGTTACCGACAAGTGCGTCTCCGCTGCTCGCGGGTGAATATCGTGTTTGCAACAAGCATTCCAAGATGCAACATGACGTTACCAAAACCAACAGACGAGTTTATCCACTTTTTACAACTGGACTTCCGAACCGAAACGCTACTGCCATGTTGAGTTGATGTCGCTGAATAATGGGAGCTGCGACTGTATTCGTCGCGTGGAGTTCATCATTGAAAGGTGCATCACCAGCACAATCATCAAGGAAAACCGACTTGCGAAAGTCAAAAGCGGACCGAAATCAACGATGTGAATTAGCCGTTGTTGTTGAAGTAAACGGAGCTTGTTGTGAGGTTGATGGAAATTGAGCAGAGACGGATCGAATAACTGGTTACCAGTGTGATATTCATTGATGCTGCAACCATGATGTTGAATGGGTTCCAAACTTTTCAATACTGTTGTCGGATTTTGTTGACTCGTTGTAGCCCACGCGACGAACCGATGTAGTTCCTAATAGATTTAGCCCTTAATCTGCACAGAATGGTCACCACAAAACAGGAACGGACGGCAAACAACACATAACTTTATGCACACGACTAATAGTATAACAATATAATGATGTAGTAAACTGCAACTTTGACATGAAAATAAAACTATAGTGGCAATGACAGGAAAGTCAAATACGCACCGAACTTCTTCAATGCGAAATTGCAACAACCACAAATTACTCACTATAAACCAACTCGACATGTGTCTAAAATGTTTTAATCCTTTAACTCGACACAGTAGCAAACCGATTAACACACACAATTCTAGGCATAGTAGTGTCAACACAAAGGACCCAATATGTCCAGTTTCAGCAAAATTTCCACATTTGAGCACAACAACAGTGAATTTTTTCAAACTACTCTAAAACCTATGACAACATCCAAACACAAACCAGAAACACAAAAAATATCGTTAATAAAATCAACAGACAAGACAATAATACATAGAAAATGATCTGAATGTTACCGCCATATTGAATAGGTAGGACTGTAATCTGGTTCTGTTGTTGCCGAGAAGGGAAGATGAGTGGTGTTGGTGGCGCCAGAAAATACGATGCAATGGGAGTATTGCTTTTGTTGTTGTTGACAGCGAGTGTTGGGATTGTTGCTGTCAATATTGCTGAGTTCTCTAGTTGGAGCCAAAACCAAAGCCAGAGGATCCCTTCCTCGCCCATGTTTAGCATTAAACTGAATGATCTTATCAATGATAGGTATCCCAAAAGCAAGAGTTTTTCCAGTTCCTGTTCTAGCACGACCAATCATATCACGACCTTGCATAGCAGGCTCCAGCACAGCCCTCTGAATGGGGAAAAGCTTCGTGATTCCTTTCTTTTCCAAAGCAGAAACAATATCCTGAGAAATCCCGAGCTTCGCGATCTCAAGACCATCATCGCCGGTCGCTTTAGACTGTTCCTCGAATGGAAAAGCTTCAGCGGCATAACCAGCGCGAGAAGCCGAAGAGGCGCGAAATAGCAAGGGTTGTGATTTGGAGTGGAAGGACCTGGCTGGGAAGACGGTGAGTTGTCTGAGCTCGGCAGAAGCGGTGGAGGAGAGAAGTGCTTCGGCGGCGGGGATGGCACGCTTTGAGAGTGTTGAAGATGCTCTTCGGAGAATAGCGGTCATCATGGTGATGGCGGAAAATGAAAAAACCCTAACACTGTATCAAAGATGGAATCGTGGGTTTAGGGTTTGAAGCGGCGGTGTTGTGGAAGAGGAATTTTGTGAGAGGCAGTGAACAGTAGATTAGGGTCCTTCTTTCTGAAAAATACCCTCTCCTCTTATAACGATCTCAGCCTTCTCTTAATGGGTCTTTGTGATGGGCCCGATCCAAATCCAGCTTTTCTCTCTTTTTTTACTTAAATTTTTCAGCAATTAATTAAAAAATAAGGCATATAAAACTAATACTACATTATTAATTAAATCTAACTAATAAATAAATATTGACAAATACTAATTAATAAATATTAAAAAAGAATATAAAAATAAACTAAAATTTAAAAACCGAAAGAAATAATTACTAAAAAAAAATATATACTATTAGTAATATTTAAAAAGAAGAAGTTTTAAGAAAATAATGTTTACAAAAATGTTTTTAGGCCATGTGTCACGTCTTTATTGGATAAAATGATAAAAGCTCTAAAAAAATATTAACCGATCGCGAGCAGACACGTGTCTAAATAATCAAGAAAAATAAACAGGCAATGTAAAACAGAAAATGAAATCGAAAAAAGGTGAAAATAAATAAAAAACGGGTAGGACAAATTTAGGGTATGACAGATGCCCCTATCTAATTGCCTTGAACCTGAGAGAATGAACAGCTGCATGGCGTTCATTTTTAGGGTGGAAGTCAATTAGATACAGAAAGACCCCGAAATTTGTCCGACAAGCGAAGTGCAGAGATTAGGGATGACAGGATACAAAATAGATGAACGAGATAACCTTATATGGTCGAAGCAGTCCCTTATCCAATAAGGTTCTTCGTGATGCCAAAGTTGTATCTCTGAATACAAAACGAGATTTCTTCGGGTGGTCAAAGCAGTACCTTATCCATTAAGGCTCTTCGATGATACCAAAGCAGTATCTTGAACAAAACTTGAGATTCTTCGGGTGGTCGAAGCAGTACCTTATCCATTAAGGCTCTTCGATGATACCAAAGCAGTATCTCGAGTGATGATTTTGCTGAGGAATAGTTGAGCTAAAATTCTTATTAGAGGAGCATCATTGTGCAAACTTTGCAGGGGGAAAGCCTTCAAGAAACTTTTTAAGGTAACCTCTGCTTGGGGAGCCACCAGAGCAACGACTGCTGGGAATCATCATCAACAACTGTATGGTTAAAGAATGGCTTGCTGGAGATAGAATTCCTTGAACACATGCGACATTAACTCTTTTCAAGAGAAATACTGCCGACTTTGATAGAGGACCTGTCAAGATGCTTGTGAACTGATCCTGGATTCTGTTATGCTATGTCGCTGGGGACAGAAATGCAATGCTTTGTATGATGCATAAATATGCAAATGATGCAACTGCTAGGGAAATAAGACGCATATGTAAATGATATGCAATGCGCATGAAAATGCAACTGGGTAACGGGATTTGGTAAGGCTTTATTTCTGGTTTTCCACAAGGGATTATTTTTGGTATTAGGTGAAACAAGGTGAAAAGATTTGCGGGGTATATTGGTTTATCAACTCGGGGGTTGAGAAGAACAAATATACTATCGACTCGGGGGTCGAGGATAAATCAGAACAACAAGTCAGCTTGAGGATTGAAGAAGAATAGCAAATATCGACTCGGGGGTCGAGAGAAAATAAAGGCAATATCGACTCGGGGGTCGAGGAAAATAAAGGTAAATATTGACTCGGGGGTCGAGAGAAAAAGATAACAAAGATATCGACTCAGGGGTCGAGAAAATAAAGACATATCAACGCGGGGGTTGACGAAAGGTAAATATCGACTCGGGGGTCGAGGGCAAAGGAAAATATCGACTCGGGGGTCGAGAAAAAATAAAATATCAACGTGGGGGTTGAGAAAAAACAAGACAATATCGACTCGGGGCTCGGAAAAAACAAAATATCAACGCGGGGGTTGAAGGAGGATAAGGCAAATATCGACTCGGGGGTCGAGAAAAAAATAAAGACATATCAACTCGGGGGTTGAAAGAGGAAATGATCGTGCTATGTATGCGTATGATACATGTCAATTATATGATGCATATGTGAATGCAAGCAGGAGATTGGTTTTATGAAGGTGCCAACAAGGGTGGACTTTGGGTGGTTGCTAATATGAATTGGACTTTAGGGGTGCCAAGTAGGGTTGGACTTTAGGAGATGCCAAGCGGGGTTGGACTTTTAATAGTTGCCAATACAAATTGGACTTTAGGAGATGCCAAGCGGGGTTGGACTTTAGGAGAGGTGCCAAGCAGGGTTGGACTTTTAATGGTTGCCAATACAAATTGGACTTTAGGAGATGCCAAGCGGGGTTGGACTTTTAAGGGTTGCCAATACAAATGGACTTTTTGAGTTTTAAGGGATGCCAATAGAAGTGGGCTTTATTTGGTAGTTGCCAATATGAATTGGACTTTTAGGAGGGGTGCCAAGCAGGGTTGGACTTTTGGTGGTTGCCAATGAAGATTGGACTTTTAGGGTAACTTTGAGATGCCAACTGGAGTGGCTTTTATGTAGTTGCCAATAAAAGATTGGACTTTTAGGTTTTGTGGGATGTCCACAGAAGTGGACTTTATTTGGTGAAAGTATTTGACTTCCCGACACTCGGTATCTGATAATGTTATGGTCAGAAGACATATGTGGATGTCCTTGATGCCCCAAGTTTGATCCTTGCAGAAGTTGGCTGCTTGTTCTTGGGAGAACCTTAACTTCTAGCCAATGTGTCATGACGGCTTACAAATGTCGAGTGTAGCGACGTAACCAAAGCATGCTGAATGTGCGAGCATAGCGACTTAACCAATGCTTGTTGAACGTGCTTTTTCTCTGCCCCAAGGCTTTTGATGCTTGTTGTGAACTCAACAGTTACTAGCATCTGGCATGATCTTCTTGACCAACTTGGATGCAAGAAGGGAACTGCCCCTGTTCAATCTAGTTTACCCCGGTTCGCAGGGTATTTGAAGATTTTCTTCTGGAATGTGATCACACCATGACATGGTCTGAGATGATTTTCCCTAGTGTCTAGGCTTTGCAGAGGTCTGCCCCTGTTTGAACCTCGGAAGGACTTGCCCCAGATTCAAATGGTTATGAGAAAGTCTTGATTCAGGTCAGCACCATCGAATGTTCAAGTTCTTCTTGGACAACTCTTTGTTGGGATTTCCATTATGTCAAGTACTAATTTGCTGTTTAAAATTGTTCATTCAAAAATGGTAATTTTAATGCAACATTTATGCGAGTTTTGAAAAAGCTCGTTTATTAGCATGATGTGAAAGTGTGTGACAGACGAACTGTTGGTCCAAACGTACTGCTGATTTAATTGGTGTGAAAGATCTAGCAAGAATACGACACCAATATAGAAGATTAGCAAATATCTAGGAGTCAGTTTACGCAACCTTGTTGTAGTATGCTTTTAGAATAAATCCCGCCTCAATTAGGTCTTTCGAGGGTTGTTACATGGTCTGGTTCACGGTTATGAAACAAGGATATAGGGCTCAAAAATTAATTTTAACCCACCCATTCTTCGTAATGAACTCCATTCCTACATTCAGTTAATGCTACACTTGTTTTGACGGTATAAGCTTGAAGGTTCAAGGATTGCTCGACGTGGAAGTCACCTTATTTTGATGGATGCCAGTGCCCCTTTGATTTGGGTGGCCACTGAATTTTTTTTGTTTTTGTTGAGGGTTTCGGGGTCCTCTTTTACTTTTGTTTTGATCCCTAACTTTTGTATGGATTGACTTTGCTTGTCAGATCCATCGGGATTGCCTTGATTTTTGCCTGTCTCCTTTTGAGGTGTTCGACTTAGCAGGCTTTTGATTTTTTCTTGTATTTTGAAAGGCTTGTGACTGCCAAGTCATTGGTCATTGATGAACAACCGTCATGACTTTTCGATTTTATCTCGTGATTCGAGTGCATAATCGGGTTAACTAAACACTACCCTGCCCCAGGTTAAGCGTAAGGGTTTTAGAAATCCGAAGGAAACTCCTGCTTCTAGGCTCGAAGTGGTTAACTAGGGACTAACTCCTTATCTCTCCAGTGTATAAGATATTGAAACAATGCCTGTACATCATCAGCAAGACTTTATCCAAAAGCATACTATCAGCAATTATGGGTATTTAGCTTTCGTCATCCTCCCTCAAATCTTTGCTAAACAGCAGTGCGATAAAGGAAGTGGAGTGAAAAAAAATTGTGATTTTTTTTGCAATAAGTGAGAAAATGTGAGTGAATACGAATGGACTTGTTCAAAATATGCATAATTATCACATTAAAAATACCATTAATAAACAAAAACGTCTAAAAGCAAATAGCACTTAACATAAAAGAAACTACAAATGCGTAAAAACAATATGGAAATTGCCAGTATTGAGGAACTGGGCTTTTCTCTCTTGCATCACAGTTGAACTACCCTTCTTGCTCATCGAGACCAGTATGATAACCTTCTTCATATCTACTCTCTGCAACTTCTTCCATGTCATGGACGGATGAACTCACTTGATCAGATGAAGGTTTGATGTTGATATGAAGTCCTTGAGGTGTGAACGAGATTAGCTTGGACTCGATCAGATCTTGAACCTTATTCTTGAACTGTTTGCAATCTTCGGTCGAATGCCCCATTGCGCCAGCATGGTAGCCACATCGTGCATTGGTGTCAAAGCCTGGTGGATATGGTGGGATCACAGGATCCAGGCCCTTTGGCGCTATCAATCCACTACTAATCAAACGCGGTAGCACGTGATTGTATGGCATCGGTAATGGATCAAAGTGTCTCTTTGGTCTTTGATTATAGTAATGTCGTCGTTGCGGAGCATGTTGATGTACAACCTGCTGTTGATAATGGGGACCTCTATTGATAGGAGGATATTGACCATGTGAAGAGACCGGAGTCCCACAGGTAGACCCATAGGATTGCTGACTTTTAACAGTCGAGATGATTGGGTATTGAAGATAGGGCACCGAGGATGGAGC